CTGGCTGGCCTTGAACTGGCCTCGACTCTGCTTCATTCTCCAGAGGGTTGGGATTATGGGCTTGTGCCAGTGTGCCTGGCATGTTTTGTTTTGGTACCGGGAATCAAATTCATGACCTCGGGCTTGCCAGGCAGGCGCTGTGCTGCTGAGCTGTATCCTTAGCATGTTTTTTTAATTTTATTTTGCACAGATTTTGTTTTGCACAATTGATGAGAATATCGAGTGGGGGTAATAAACCTTGTATCCATTTAGACTAAATACCATAGCTTCAGGTTGTTTTTTTTGTTTTTTCTGTTCAGGTCGTATAAATCTTTTGCCTTTTTTTGTCTTGTTGAGACGGGGTCTCCCTATGCAGTTCAGGCTGGCCTTAAGCTCACCTTGTAGCCTGGTCTGGTCTTGAATTTGCAACAATCCTCCTGCCTCAGCCTAGTGAGTGCCGGGATTACAGGTGTGCGCCACCACACCCTGTGGCTTCAGGTTTTTTGAATAGATAGCACAATAAATAAAATTGAGAAGAGTGAAATTAATAGAATGATTTTTTGACCCCTTATTTAAAAAAAACTGATTTTCTGAGCCATGGTATTTATGATTCTGTGAACTTTGTTCTAGGATTATGCTACAACGAATATTTTTGTGTTTTGCCCTATGAGTGAAATGTGGTCATGATTTTTAACTACTGAGAGTTTAGATGCCTGAGTTTTTGCAACATGGTGGGAGCTGAGGAAATAGATTTAATCAGTTTGTTTCTAAAATATTCACATGGTCTTACCTAGGAGCTGAGGAAATGATTTTCTCTTTTTGTTTTTCTTTGTTTTTTTGAAACAAAGTCTTGCTATTTAGTTCATGCTGGTCCTGAACTCATTATGTAACCCAAGCTGGCCTTGAACTGGCAATCCTCCTGCCTCAGCCTCCCAAGTGCTGGGATTATAGGCGTGTACTATCACGCCTGGTTGGAAACAAATTTCATCAAGTCTTTGTTTCTAAAATATTCACATGGCCTTTTCTCTATGAGAGGTCAAGAAATCTGTCAAGTTACCCTTTTTGCTTTTCTAGGAATACCATTTAACTTTCTGAAAATTAACAGTGACTGAGTGCCTTGTCATTACACGGACCTGCAGTGAGCTGTGGTCGAAGTGTAGATCTTTGGAATGTCAAATTTGTTCTGCTGAGAAGTTGGGGTTTTCTTAGGTACACAAGTTGTAGAGACTTCTTGGAAATCACAGTAGAACCTTTGCATTTTAGAGTTTTAAATTTTACAGTTGAGACTGGGAGTTCAGAGAAAGAGGCCATCAGCTCTAGGGCTCGCAGGTGCCCTATGGCTGTAAAGCTAAAGGAGCTCAGCATCGAATCTTCCCTTCACACCTGAGGATGTTTGGAGCGCGTTGCCTATCCTCTCGGCTGGTGTGATGCCCTGCCTTAACCTGATCCGAGGATCTTATTGCAAAAGCATGTTTTTTTTCCCTGACACAAAATGCTCCTTCAGATACATAACTAATGAACAAATGTAGATACATTGGTTGAAGCCAGGAGTGGTGGGGCACACCTGTAATCCCAGCACTCGGGAGGCTGAGGCAGGAGAATTGTTGCGAGTTCCAGGCCAGCCTGGGCTACAAGGCCAGCCTGAACTTCATAGAGAAACCCTATCTCAAAAAAACAAAAACAAAAACAAACCTCAAATAGATACATTGGTTGAGCATCAAGGAACAGGGCCATTCAGGTATATTAAGCAAGAGAGACAGATGTGTGCCCTAACTTTAGTGTTACCATGTTGGTTTTTAATTGAATTGGGACCATGGGATCATTCATAAATGTAAGGTAGTAAATGAAAACAAATACAAACAAAGACAGATTGAGGCTAGAACCCAAGGCCTTGTGAATGCTAGAAAAGTGTTCTGTCATTGAGCAACATCCCAGGCCTAAATATAATAACTTTTTCTTATTCTGATTTGGGGAAAGTACAAATACACATCCTTTTTTTTTTTTTTGCAGTACCGAGGATCGAACTCAAGACCTTGCGCTTGCCGGGCAGGTGCTTATGCCACTGAGCTAGATCCCCAGCCCCCTACACGTGCATTTCATAAACTGCATGCACTTGTTTGTGTTCTGTCTTAGTCACCAGTAACTGGCACTCTTCCTACCTTGATACCACCTCCCTCCTCCATCTTTTTAAAAAACAGTAGTTTAATTGTTTTCTTGCAGAGGTGGATACTTTTTATTTAGTCAGAAGACTAGAGCAGTGGGTGTTTGTTTACAGTGTAAGATGCTTTTTAGGATTGGTTTTCCTTGTTCCCTCAGGGCTCAGCTTTGAAAATGTCCCATCTAGTGTCATCATGCCAGGTCTGAATGTATTCTTTATTCTACTTCTGGCATTGCTGTTGATTTATCATAAGATTTTTTATTTATACATTTCTGTCGGCTAAGGAACTGGACATGGGAAGAATCTGCTTTATTCACATACGCCTTTACTATTAGAGTGTGTGAAAATGTATGCTTTATATTCACCACTTGTTTGTAGAACATCTGTTGAGAGGGTATGTGTTTTTCATGCTGTGTGCGGCACCAGGGATGCAAAGTTGAAGAAGATTCAAGGCTTGTGGGCTTTAAGGAACTTTTTAATTTTTTTGCCTTTTTGAGACAAGGTCTTACTCTGCCATTCAGGCTGGCCTTGAGGTCACTTTGTAGCCCAGGACGGCCTTGAACTCAAAACTATCCTCCTGCCTCAGCCTCCCAAGTCCTGCAATTACAGGTGTGTGCCACCATGCCCAGCTGTTTTTGATTTTATGTGCTTTGCTTATTTGGCTGTCAGTATTGTGCTTATAAAAAATCTGCCAGTAGTTGTGGCTCATGCCAGTAATCCCAGCATTTGGGAGGCTGAGGCAGGAGAATCACCACAAATTTGAGGCCAGCCTGGGCTACAACGCCCCTCCCCGCAAAAACATTTAAGAAAAGGTATTCTAAAATGGGGCGTGTTGTTGCATGTGTATATTCCCAGTTGTCTGAGAGAGTGAGGCAGGAAGTTTGCAGTTTAGAGCCCAGCCTGGCAAGTAGTGATTTAGTGAGGCACTGCCTCAAAATAAAAATCAAGAAAAAAAAAAAAAGGAAGGAAGGAAGGAAGAAAGAAAAAAAAAGAAAGAAAAGAGGTAGAAAGAAAAAGAAAGAAAGAAAGAAAGAAAGAAAAGAACAGAAAAGAAAAGAAAGAAAGAAAAGAGGTAGAATGTAGCCCAGTATAAACTCTGGGTTCAGTCTCCTTATCTCTCTCTCTCTCTTAACCCAGGGCCTTTGCTCTGAGTTGTACCCCCAGCCCTTTTTAAATTTTTAACTTAAAGACAGGGTTGTACTAAATTGCTAAATTGTCCAGGCTGACCTTGTACTCGAGACCCAGCCTGCTTCAGCAGCTGGAATTCCAGGTGTGCATTAACATGCCTTGCTTTTTATCTTCTTTTTACCTGGTCTAGAGAATTTTGTTAAAATCTTGCCCCTAACTACATTGGGAGTGGAGAAACTGATTTAACTAATTGTAATAAGTGAAATGTACCCCCCATAAGAAGTTCAGAAATAAAGAGTGGTCGGGCAGTTGTTTTCTCAATCCTTCCAGAATTTGTTCTTGTTGGTATGACATTGTGTATGTCATTTTCAAATAATTTCAGATTCAATAGAAAAGTTTTGCAAACAGTAAAGTTGTATGGATTCAAAACTATCCTGGAGACTTTCCTCATTTTCCAGTGGGAGAAACAGACATGTAAATCAATAAATGAGAACTGTTAGTACTAATAAATACTGTGAAGGTGATAATATGGTAGAGAATGACCTAGGTTGCTATCTTAACTATGGTAGTGCATTCTCTCAGAAGAGGCTGCTTTGAGCAGAGACATGAATGTTAGAAGAGCTGGAAGCAGAACATTCCAAACTGGAAGAGCAACCAGTACAAAAGTTCTCTATTAGTCAGAAAGTATGAGGAAGAGAAAGCAAAACAAGTCTGACTAGATAATAGTCCACAAGGCACAGAGTGGAAGGTGAGGTCAGAAGTAGACGGATACCAGGTCATCCAGGGTCTCTGTAGGTCATGGTTAACATGGAGTAGGCTTGGTAAAAGTTAATAGTTGCGACTCGAGTACAGTTACTGTGGGAAGCCTTGGGGAGGTTTTAAGCAAAGAATTGGAGTTGTCTGAGTCACACTATACACACTACATTCTGGTTATTCTGCCATAGTTGAATTATAGAGAGACACAAATTGAAGCAGAGACATGAATTAGGAGAATGTTGGAATAGCAAGCCAAGAAATGCTGAGGATACCTGACCATGACTGTGTCAGGGACAATGGGAGTGTTGGGTAAGTTTTGTGTATTTTGGAGGTTGAAACAAGTTTTGTTTTTGTTTTTGTCTTTTTTTTTTTTTTTTTTTTTCTGTGATGGTGCTTGAGGGAGAGCAGAACAGTAGGCTGTCTTAATACTGTGGTCTATCTTAGCCATTCAAAGTGTCCTCACATGTCAAAGTGAAGGTGTAAGGTAGATGATACGCAGGTCTGAACCTTGGGGAAGAGATTCTGGCCAGAGATGGAAATTTAAGACATTAGTGTTTGGTGATAGTTAATATCCAGGACTGATTAAGAGTTCTTAGGCAAAAAGCGGAGACAGAAGGTGAATGAGACCAGAGCCTAGAGCACTGCAGTAATTCTGTTATTCTCAGTAATGGAAAGAGTAAAGTACACGGACACTTGTGGTAGTTAACTGGCTGTGTCAGCTTGAGTAGGAAGTGCCTGACTCGTCGTTCTGGGTGTGGCTGAGGGAGATGCTGGAGAGCCCTGTCCTGAGTGTGAGCAGCATTGACCAATATGCTTGTCGTCTGAACGGGGTAACAGGGGAGCAAAGAATGAAGGCTCCATTATTTCTTCAGCTGCCGTCTTCCTCCTCACCTTGGACATCACCTGCTGGCCAGAGCACAGACTCCTCAGCCTCCAGCACAGACCCTTTGGCCTCCTGATGTGGACTCTCACGGGACACTACAGTGAGCACTGGGCCTTCAGCTGGATCCTTCAGATCCCTAGCACACAGACAGCCCTTTTGCACTGTTGCACACCCGACTCTGCAGGTGGCCACTGTAAGCCTGTCTGGTAAATCCTTATATATTTGTATATCTTGCATCTTTTTGAGGTGGGGTCTGGCTCTGCAGTTCAGGATGGCCTTGAGTTCAAACCGATCCTCCTGCCTCAGCCTCCCAAGTGCTGGGATTACAGGTGTGCGCCACCACACCTAGTTTAATAATTTGTTATTGGGCCAGGGGTATAGCTCAGTGGCATAAGCGCCTGCCTGGCAAGCTTGAGGTCATGAGTTTGATTCCTGGTACTAAAAAATAATAATAATAATTTGTTATTCTGCTTGCTTTTTATTTTCCTCTTCCTCTACTGTTGGTATATTTTGTCCTCTCTCTCTCTCTCTCTGTGCGTGGGTGCATGTGTGTATGTGAATATCAGTGTTCAAGGTACTTTGTAGAGAAATGTCTGGCTTCTGCCACCCTACCTGCCTTTGTAGAATCTATTATATACCTTTATTTTTGTTATTTACCTATTGAAACACTCCCCTTCCCCCTCTTCCTCTCTCACTGTTTTGTCTCAGCTGGCCTCCAGCTGCGGGACTCAAATGACCGTCCTTGGCCTCCAAATAGCTGGAACTGCAGAGGTGCCGCTGTGCTGCTCATTCTTTCTTTAAGACATGATGAACAAAATGTCATAAAAATTTGTCACTCTGACGTCAGCTTTTTTCTGTATTTTTAATAGACATACGTATTTTTCTCTAGTTCTGCTTAACACTTCTGACAATTGAGATGTCTTCTCAGTTGTTTTATATCTGTCTATATACATATATAAACTTTAAATTTGTTTGTTTGTTTTTGAGATAGTCTCTCTACGTAGCCCAGGCTGGCCTCGAATGCACAGTGATTCTGCTGCCTCAGCCTCCCAAGTGCTGGGATTACAGGTGTGCATCATCATGCCAGGCTTGAGAGTACATAAATTTTAGCACAATGGATTTTTATAGGCCTTTGACTCTCATTCTGGAGGTTTTGGTGGTTGTAGTGGACTGACAACTGGTGGTCAGCTAACCCCCAGCTAAATAAATTCACCGCACTGAATAAGTGCGGTGCTGGGTGTGGGAGGCCCACCTGGGGCCTGTTGCCAGCAGCACAAGAGGCAGAACTAGAGAAGAAGTGAGGCTGTTGGGAGCTGGTAGGAGCTGTAAGGAGTGTTGGTTCTGTTAGAGGAACTTGTCATGCTGGCTTTCCTGATGAACTTGGCTGTTTTCATCCTCTGAGGAGCTTGGGACCTTGTTAGCACTGAGAATAGCTTCAGTTCACTTTGGGGGTGCTCTGGTCCTCACTTTGAGCTTCACTTCCTGGCCCTGGAGGGGAAGATGGTACACTGCTGGTCTCCTGGAGAAGCTTGCTGCATTGGCTTTCCTGATGGGAACTTAGCTGTCTTCACCGTTGGAGGAGCTTGGGACCTCACTGAGGACCTCACTGAGGATGGTTGTGGTGCTTTTTAGGGGAGCTCTGGTTCTTACCTTGGGCATTGCTTCCTGGCACCATTGTAGATCCCTCAGCTTGCTAGCACAGATCCTTCATCCTGCTGGTACAGACTTGCTAGGTTCCACCACTGACCTTTGGGCCTTCTCAGCGCAGATCCATGAAACAGGCCTGCAAGAGATATTGTTATGGGCTCTAGGCCTCCAGTTGGATTCGTGGGAGGCACTGTTATGAGCTGTAGGTTTTCACCTGGACTTATGCAGGACATTTCTGTGGGATCCAGGCCCACAGCTGGATTCTTGGTCTATAGTATGTGGACAGATTTCCTGCACTCTCTTGTATATGATTCTTTGGGTGACTAGTATAAATAATCTTATAAAATCTGTGTCCTGTATTATATTATTGTTCTCCCTTGCACAATAAGCCCCAAACCATAACAGTGGTCTTTACCAGAATATGTCAACAGTGATTTCATCACAATCATGGACTTGTTCTTTCATTGAATGGTTCTTACTTGGTTTATAGACTGACAAACTAAAAGGTTGTACTAAGTAGACCATCAGGAAGAAGAATCAAGCCCAGTAACAATAAACAGTGTGCTTACATGTATTATTTGCCTGTATTTACCAAATTGGTTATTTTTGCTGCAACTGAAATATGTTCTTTTAACTTCCTTTAAATAAACTTTCCGTGTTTATTTATTTTTTAAGGCAAAGTCTTGCTATATAGTCCAGGCTGGCTTGAACTCACAGCAATCCTCCTGTCTCAGCCTGCTAAGTGCTGAGATTATAGGCATGTGCCAGTACATGCAGCTTATGTAAACTTTAAGACAGGGTCTTACTTTGTAGTGCAAGCTGGCCTTGAACTCACTATGTAATCCAGGCTGGCTTTGAACTTGCAGTGGTTCTCCTACCTCAGCCTCCCGAGTGCTGGGATTACAGGCACGTGTCACCATGCCCAGCAGTAAACTTTATTTTTAAGAGAAGTTTAGGTTTACAATGGCAAGGCAGTTTAGGTTTAAAATTTAGGAGGAAGTATTGAGTTTCCATATAATCCCTGTGTCACCCCACCCCCCTCCCCACATGACCCCCCGTCTGTCGACATCCTGAAGTAACAAATTAGTTCATCTCACCTTGGTAGATAACTGCTTGAAACTCATCAGATTTGGAAGTTGGCCTGTTTTGAGGTGAACATTTTGTCCCAGTACTTGTTCAGTGCTCCGTGCGCTTGTCGGCGTGCCCTGTGAGTGCATACTATCTCTATCCCTGTTTGTTTGGTACTCCTGGAACTAAGTAATGAGTACCAAGGTACCACTGTAGTTTTGGGGCTGACTAATTCTCTTACTTTTGAGAAAATGAGCAGTTTTTAATATACTTTGACATTATTTAAAATTTGTTTATCTCATGCCTCCTATTTATTGTAGGTAGAGAAGTAGGGTCCTAAACATGGTTGGCTTCATTGGGGTGCAGTGTGTGAAAACAGGGCGCATTATGAGGGCTGTCTAAGTTACGTTGTGGTTACTGGAGCACGTTGCCCGACACAACCTAAAGAAGGAAAGGGTGACTTTGGCTCCCAGTTAGTGAAGATTGTAGTCTATAGTCGACTGGGTCCAGGGGGTCCATGGCAGGGAGCATGGCAGGGAAGAAGGAGCTCGTGGCAAGGCAAAAGGGAGGTGGAAGGGATGCAGACCCTTTCAGGCCACAGCCCCAGTGACCCACTTCCTCCAACTGGGCTTTACTTCCCAGTGTCACATACAGCTATAAACACATCAGTGAATTAATCAGGACCCCGTGTTCCAATCACTGCCTATAAGCACGTGAGGCTTTATGGGGACATCTGGGTATGAGCTATAACAGAGCCCAAATACTAAGCTGTGTTCCTGTTATGAAATTTTTAATTTTTGAATAAGTGGCCCTGTGTTGTTATTATTATTGTTCCTATTTTGCAGAGCTGGGGATTGAACTCAGGGACTTGTGCATGGTAGGCTAGTGCTCTGCCACTGAGCTGCATCCCCAGCCCCTAAAATTTTTCTGTGGTGAGAAATCTTTACATTTGGAATTAGCCAGCCGGACTTAATGTTGGGAGTATTTATTCACTTATGTGGTGTTGGGGATGGAACCCGTGCCTCTCAAATTATAGACAAGTACTCTGTCACTGGGCAGTACTGTATCCCTAGTCCTGAAATTAGTTTAGATGATCCAGTCTTATTGATAACGTCCAAAGCATCACAGTCAGCAGCCAGCAGAAGATGTACCACCTTTTTTCCCCTTCTTGGTAAAAAGTCCTCACATTTTTATTTTGCACTGGGCCCTGCAAATTATGCAAATAATGTAGTCAGGTTTGATATGAATATTTATTTATTTATTTATTTATTTATTT